TCCAAGAATTCTACTGCTTGAATCTTTTCCTGTCAGTAATTTTGTCAAAGAATCCTACTGTCTAAAACTTTTCCTATCGGTAATTTTGACCAAGAATCCCGTTGCTTGAATCTTCCTCTGTCATTAATTTTGCCCAAGAATCCTACTACTTTAATCTTCCTCTCTCAGTAATTCTATCTAATAACCCTACCTGTTTTGTTCTTTCCTTTACTAGTATGTCCCTCAAAAATGTTCAATTAAATATAAAAGGTAAAAAAAAAAGAAAAAACGACGAAGAAATCTTAATCGTTTACTTTAGTAGATATCTCAAATCCGTAGATATTAGTTATCTCAAATCCGGTATTTTTCCGGAATGCAATAGAAAAGGTGTGGTGTAAAATGATAATAGCAATAAAATATCTCTTTCCATAATTTTCTTCTATCATTCAGTTTTTATTGTTTATCTGGAAGTTTTAGTAAATTAAACCCGTTGCATATTAATCAATATACTTATTTATTTTATTTTAAACTTTCTTTTTCAACTACCAAATTTTTTTTTTAAACCTTTGTCTTCGACGTATTGATAACTTTTTCATACTGTTCTTTTTTTTTTCTTTTCCGTATTTTAATTTAATGCTTCTTTTTTTGTTTTGTTTTGTAAAAAAATTATCAAAATTATTTAAAGTTAATATGGAATTAATTAATTAATTATTTTTGAAAGTTTTTGCTTATTTTAAAATATATCAACTCGAAAATACATTTTTCATCATGCAGCTCATTTATCATACGTACGTTATACGTGAAACGCTTAGATAATACGTGTAACTTATCATCAAAAGTTGAAAAGTTTTTCTTTTTTTTTTTTTGGTATGATAAAAGTAGCATTTATTTTATCAATTTTCTATTAATTATAATTTAAATTCTTGACAGCAATTTAATTTTTAATTTAAGTTCTTTAAAATTTGACAAGAAAGCAGTGTTTGTAGACTGTTTAAGTTTTTAATTAGGAATTATTCAAAGTTATACTTTATTTTCTCATTTCATTTTTAGCCCGACGATTAGCACAAGGTCGTCAACGATTGTTCAAATATGGTTCATCATCGAATACATCATCACAACCATTTGAATTAAATGAGAAAATTCATCGATCTATAAGGTATGAAATATCTAATTAGCCAACTAATCTTTAATTAATTTTCTTATTTTAATTAGCCACAACATTACCAATTATTTGATTCATCTTTTTTTTTGAATAATTTTAATTTCGTTATAAATTATCTATTTTTGCTTAGTTTTCACTCTTTAAAAATGAGTGCAAGTTATTTAATAGTAAACTAAATTATGGGACACTGAAAAACGAAATGAAAGACTTAAAAATCACAATTTACTGTCAAAAAAGTAATTGATATGACTAACTTATTGTGCAATAATTTGATTTATTGTTTTCTTAAAAGGAAAGAATTCATTATTAAATTGAAAAATTCATGAAGCACATCAATTAATTCTATTTTTTTTGTGTTACACTTCAAAAAAACAAAATTGGAATTAATATTCCTTATTAGATATTGAATTTATTATCACATTGATTACTTTATGTTTTATTGTTTATTAAAATTTAAATTTACTTTTTAACATTTAAACACATTTAAATTTACTTTTTTTTTTTTCTGATACAATTGTGGAATTCAATTTTATATCCATTTCAGTACTTTTACTTTTATAAAATATAATCGTTTTACTTTTATTTATAAACATAATTTCATTGAAAGAATTATTATTTGTAATTTTGATGCTTGCATTTTGAGATATTTATGATATTATCAGTTTTACAGAAATTTAAAATCGTTAAGAAATACACAAATTGATGATGAAAAAGATGGGATTGGTGAAATAAGTAAGTACTTTGAAGCTGCTATTATTTACATTTAATTAGATTTTTAAATTATCTTTTTTAAATTTACAATAAAATACACAACAACATTTCAGTTCATTTCGTTAATTTGAAATTCATAAAAATAAAGCTAAAGTTTGATTTTTATGTTTGCCAGCTTAATTTTTTTCACTATTTCAATTCTTGTAATTTTTTATTTTGTTTTTTTTCCCCCTCTCAAACAACCATCAAAATCAAATCATTTTATGTAATTTTTGTTTTTATCTTTGTTGGAAACTTTTAAATAAAATATGAAATAAAATATTTGATATTTTTTTTTTTTGAAACAACTACTACCGTGACATTTGAACATCTTCTGATTGCAATTAATGGATAAGCCTAGGATTGAAATAATTTAAATTCATGATAGCACAAACATTTTCAGTCGAAAAACTATAAATTACCTAATTGCTGGTTTGTATAAATTTTATTTGAAAATCATTAATTACAAATAGTCGTTGTTCAAGTTGCTAATACAAAATTAAAAGAGAGTAAAAGAAAATGATAGATGAATATTTGGAAACATTTAAGAAGCAAAAATAAAACCTAATTAAGTTTTATCTCAATATACTGATATCTAACTAATAACTTATTTGATATTAGTACATCAAGGTAAAACTCAATTAAGTTTTATCAATTAAAACTTTGTCAGGCTTAATTTGTTTTAATTAATATAGTTGAAACCATATTAATAAATTATTATTTAATACAAATCAAGTATGTACTGATTTTTACTCAGATCAGATTTAATCCAATTTAATTTTGAAATTGTTTGCCCGATTTCTTAAAATATTCCAGGAATTATAGGGAAAACAAGTTTGAAGTTTTTTTTTTTGTTCTTTAAAATGATAAATTTGAATTTGGAAGGTATAAGAAAATGATAGATTGTAATGGAAATGATAAAATGATAAGATGATAGAAAATGAGAAAAAGTATGAGTCATTCATTTATTAAAGTGAAAGTTTAAAAAAGTGTCATTATATAAGCGTGAAATTTTAGCACTGTCAACTACTGCATTGCCTACAGTTGGAGGATTGGTAGAAGGTATACGAGATAATTTGAAACAATCGAATGAAACGGTAGTATCACCGGAAAGTGGTTCAAAGATAAATATTGTAACATCAATACCACCATTAACACAGGATAATATATCACGACCTGCTACTGTATCATGCATTCAACAATCTCAGACAAATTTTGATGAAGATGAAGAATTGATGTTTAAAAATTTCCCTTGGTTAAAGGTTCAAATTTTCATAACTTAATCTTTATAATTTTATAACTTTAAATTTAAAGTAATCTAATAATACATTTTATATTTATTTTGGAAAAAAGAAAGCAATATATTAATGAAATTAAATTAATTAATATGTAAATAATAGTTACGATAATATCTATGATGATAATATTGAAGTCTAAATTCTATTATTATTATTATTATTATTATTTATCCTACGAATATTATGAAAAGATTTCATCTATTAGAATATGCTTAAATTTAGCGTATAATTATGTTAATAGTTTATCATATAACATATTTTACATTAATTATCAAATATCTTAGCATAATTAATTTCATAAAACAAAAATTATAGATTGTAATTAAAATGGCAAATTCGTTTAATTTATCATGTAATCATGAGCGCTTTTGTCATCCGTGGTGTTTTGAAAGAATCTATCGACAATGTTACCGGTTAACAGAAGCACTTCGGAAAGTATATGGTGAAGATTTACCACCTCTTGGACATCTTGATAAACGTAAAGCAATGACCGATGCATGGATTAATCGTCATGATAATATGAAAAAAGTATGGGACATTTATTTGTTGATATTGTTTGTTTGCTAAGATGAATTCATGATCATTAATTTTTCAAATATATTCAATTAACATGATAATAATTTATTTAGCACATATGATATGACATTAAATACAGTACAAATGTTAAATACAATAGCCATTATCCGATTATGATATTATCTAAGCAGGTTACTATAGGCATAGCTGTTTACTCGAACAGAATAAATTACAATAATTCGGTTACAGTACCATACTGATAGTTATAGTATTATTTTGGCTGCTATTACTATTATTATTAGCAGTAGTCGTACAAACGTAACAAATCTTTATCAAACAAAATTTTGTCACTTTTCAATGTTCTAGACACAGCAGCGGTTTTCCGGATTGTTTGCAGCCCGTCGAGAAAATGCTACTGTCCGGCAAGGTGCAATGATTGATAAGCAACCAATGGCATTACGAAGTTTACTTATTGAAAAACTTACTGAAATGGAAGAAAATAGAGAAGGACGAATGGGAAAAAATAATTTTCAAGTATTTCATTCCTTTCCCGTTCTTTTTTTTCTTAATTTTCATTTTGAATATCCCGTAAAAGGTTATTTAGTTTAATTAATTTAGCTTATCTTAAACAATATACATTATCTTTCTCTTGCTTTTCATCATTTTCCTTATCTTTTCTTTCTCCAATTCTTCTAGAGAAAAAAAAAAGTGTATATAAGTTTCAAATGTTTATCGATAGTGTTATCATTTAATAAAAACATTTCGGGAAGTATATGGTAATGATTAATACGATGATAAGTGCTATTCATTTTCGTTATCACAAATTTAGAACGTATCAATAGGTTAGCCTTTAAAAGAATTTATCGATGATTTTAACATTTAACCGAAGTATTTTGGAAAATATATGATAAAATCTTACCATCTTATGGATATCGTGATAAGCGTTATTGTTTATATGATAAAATCAATATGTATCAATAAGATAATTTTTATCTTAAAATTTTACAGGATTCAGATGATCTTGTCGAAATAAGCCAAAGTCAACGAAATTCATCATCATTATCATCATCATCTTCAATGCTATCATATATTACAACACAAATGTTATGCATAATTCATGCACCATTTTCAACACTTCTTAAAAGTTGTCTTGTATTACATCATGAACATTATCGTGAAATAATGGATATTTGTTGGCATTTACTCATACATCGTGACAAACATGTTGTCACATCAGCTGGTTCAAATTTTTTTTTTTTTTGTTGATTAAATGTTAAATTATAAAATCGGAAACAAAAAAACAAAAACAAAAATTCAATTTTTAAAAAGAAAGAAGATATTTTTTAATATTAAAAAATTTTAAATTTTCAAAATAATATTAATTTTTTTAATTTTAAAAAATCAAACTTAAGAAAATATAATATTTTTTCAAATTAGAATTTAAAAAAATATTATTGTATGATATTTATATGGAATTCAATTTTAGCATCACTTTTTATCGTATCATCAGTACGTAATCCTGAAGGAACAATCAATGTGATAAGAAATAGTTTACTAAATGATAATCCAAATATACGTACGGAAGGATTACGACGTTTTCATGCTTTATGGCGGAATCGTTATCATGTTTGGTTAAAAATGGAGGATGGCGCACAGCTTATTTTTTAAAGTTTTTTTTTTTGTTCAAACGTTTCCAACTTCTTGTAATGTTTTAACTCAAATACACATTTTTTTTCTTTTGAAACATTCCTAATATCTTAATGTTATTTATTAGGTTCCACCACCAGGTATTGACTTTACATTACCTTCTCCACCTGTTGGCCAAAGCCATGTATCAATTGTTGATCCACCATGGATGCCACTTACGAAGACTAAAGTTGAAGAGCTATGTCTAAAAGAAGAGGAACAAGCAACAGTTAGTAATGAATAATTAATTTAATTAAAAAAAAAATTCATAATCTTTAATGATATCTTAAAAATTATCTTCTAATTTTTGCTTTTTTTCTTCACTTAATTTGAAAAAGAACTAATTCTATTTGATATTTTAATTAATTCTATTTGATATTTAAAAAATTATTCACTTTCTATTTTCATTTTTGTGTTGGTTTTGAAAGAAAAAAATCTTCCTCATTAGTTTTTTTTTCTTTTTCAATCAATAATTTAAATTTAAATTTACTATCGTATTTTAAGAGTCAAACAATAATGACAATGACACGTACACGTCGAAAACAGAAACAAGAAATGGTACGTCGAGCAGTACATGAAGCAAATGAACGTGAAAGTACTTTACGTCAAAAATTTCCATTCCGTGCAACAGCTATCGTACAACAGGCAGCATATGAGCCAGCTTTATTTCATCATCAAACACAACAAATTATGACTGATAATACTGGAGAAGGTTTGAAAAAAAAAAAAGAAATTAAAATTTAGAATTTGAAAAAAATTAGAAAATTTTAAAAAAAAAATCTAATTATTCAATAACTGATAATACTGGCGAAGTGTTTATTTGAGCATTTCATTTATTGTTTTCTTTTTTTAAAAAAAAAAGTTTAAAAAATTTAAAAACTATTAATTATTTAACAAATTTCCATGAATTTCATCGATTAAATAATATAAAATTTGCATTACAAAAATATTTCGCATTTATTTAATTTAATTTTTCATTTACATTTATAAATTTTTATTTCCTTTTTTTTATTTGCTCTATTTTCAGTTTCTTTTTTATTTTTTTTTCTAGATTAAAATTTAAATGATAATTTTTAGAATGTGATGTACATCCAACTTCTTCACGACAACAAATGCCAGTTGCGCAACCATTCTTTCCATCATCATTACTT